CTAATGGTTTTAACAGCTGAGTTTACAGGCTTACTATTAAGGAATTTCACAGAAAGTGTTCAGTTGCTGTACTATGTGAATTTAGTATAGTAGGAGTTTGTTTTTACACACCCCACTTAAAGCATCACTGTCCATTCCTTTAGAAGAAAATGGCCATACTGAGGGAGCACAGTGGACCAGCTTGTGTATCCATTATGTTCAGAGCTTTTCTTTAAGAATGGAGGATACATAAAATGTTTGTTATAACAGTAAGATATTCTGGGGACGCCCTTACTATACATTTATTTAATATGAAAGCTATGTTTCATTGTAAAAGCATGTATGTCCATTGCCTGTTTCATGAAAACACAGTGTAGATTAAATGTCTGCTTCAGTAAGAGCTAAGAAGCTCTGCCACTGCCACTTTACAATTTGCAGCATTTTGTGTCAGTGTTATCACAGTTGACAGATACCTTTGCAGTCGCCATATGTAAAAGCATAATAAATCACATAAATCTCACTGACACATGATAGAACTGTCCCTGTTTGTATATCTGCCAGTCCTGAGAGGTTGCTATCCAGCCTGATGAATATGCATATATTGACTGACTGGACTATTGATTAGACTAAGCTTTAACAGGATTACGCCACTAACCTGACTGGAATAATGCAACAGGGATTTACTTTTGAAGGCATTTTGTATTCCAGAGAGCAGCAGAGACAAATAATGTGCAGTTATTAAAATTTTCTGAAGTTTTCAAGGGAGAATGAGGGTGCTTTCTTGGCAGACGGAAGTTTTAGTAGCACGCGCTTCACATTCCTTCCTCGGAAAGACTCACAGCGTCATTTCTTCCCACAGAAACTACAGCTGTGTACAATCAGTTTATTTTTACTTCTTGCAAACCGATGCGTGCACTGTTAATTGGCACACACAAACACAAACATGCAAACACACAATCACAGTCACCCACACCTCGTCATGGGCTCTGTTCAGTGATGATAGTGTGTGACATGAAGAGAGTGATGAGCAGTGTCAGCCCCTTTTTAGTTGCCAGTTACCAGGGTGAAGCTGTGAATGGAAGCCAGATCGTTTGTAACTTGGTGTCAACAGCCTCTCATTAGTCCTGCATAAGGGGACACATAAACATCGCCCTCCGCCTCCATACACACACACACACATTAGAGTTCCACAGTAATTATGAAAGCTTGTTAAGCACACTCTAGCCCCTCATTAGGTGCATTAAGTGTTATAATAAAGACCTGTGCTGCTCTACGTAAAATGACAGACAATAAGCAAAGTGAAGAGCAGATGGAGAGGGACGCAAGGAGGGACTGGTCAACTGCAGCCTGATTCCTGATATATGAGTGGACACAATAAGCAAAGAGGGGCCAGGCCAGCCCCTGCCACATGTTTGTGTGTGTGTGCATGTGTGTGTGTGTTGGGCTTTAAAGAGTGGGGGAAGGGGAAACTGACCGCACAGGCTCGGACACACAGTCCCGTTTTTGCTACTCCACAGAGAAAAGGAGTGAGGCTTAAGACAGTCTGTGTGATTGCATGTGTGGAAAATCCATGTTCACACTCCAGTTGCAAAATGATCTGGAGTTAGAAATGACATGTAGGTTAGTAATGTCTAACAGCTGACTGAACTGTGGTCCAGGAGTTGATTGGAGAATGGCAGCGTGGCCTGGTGGACTGTGCAGGGCTGGAGAAAAGGGGGAACAGGAAAGAGGAGGGAAAGGTAGGGTTTTCTCCTCCTCATTCATACTGGCTTAATGCTCAGTGTTGTAGGCTGTGGTCGCTGCTTACATAACACTCTAACCATTACTTACTCTGTAAGCAAAGAGGACAGAGGTAGCTGGGTGATATGTACGTGTATAATCCATTTTCCATTGCACCGGGAATCCTGTCATGCTCCATGTATATTCATACCCCATTTCCTTCACTGGTGGGTTCAGTATTGATCTTTCTGAGCAGCAGTGTGAATTAATTCTAACTCATACAAATCACCCAGTAATGAGCAAACAATTGATAGGGTCATTTATCAGCACTGTAAGTAAAGCATGTGCTCTATCTTTCTGCTTTCTCCCTCCCTTCCTTTAGCCTGGGAGTGGACAGTGTGTGCTGAGTGTACAAAGAGGATATGTGCTTTGTAAATAGATCTCAGGTTAGATTCCTGGCATTCCAGCTGCCTGACTCATCCATTAGATGATCAGGAGTCCCTCTGCCTGTTAGCCAGCTGAAGCTAAACACTGCACCAAAACCACAATATAGGAGTGCTTGAGCCTACATGTGTGCATCTTGCTGTGTTTCTGTCCATCCTCGGGAAATGTAAGTCTTTGTTTATTGTGAGTGGGGTAAAAGCACCAACAGAAGGGTGATTATTGTTTCCACTCCCCTTCTAGCCAGCCAGCCAGCTACCTCTGCTTCACAACCCCCAAATCTCATTCCAGTCAGCTCCTTCCCCCACACACACTTTCATCTAATTAACCTCTAATTACTCCTACTAGCCATGCAGTGGACCATAAGTTGAACTAGTCTTAAAACATCCATGACTTGCATAATTGTGTTTTCTTGAAAGAAAAATAATTATGTGGTTAGGCAATACAATATAAAAGAGTCAGTTTTCAGTCACTATTCAGTTGATGATAACACTCATTAAAAGGGGGACTTTAGAACACTGAAATTGGTTTTAGTGGAGGCTGCTGGACAGAAAACAGCAAGGGTCACAGTCCATCTCTTTATTGGATCAGGTAGATTGGTGTTTACAAGCACCCTACTCACTGCTTCACACACCGATGCACAAACACACATACAGTATATACTTCCTGTTTTGCTGTTTGGTGAAACCTGAGGCCATGTAGCGTCCGTGTATAGGTCTTGCCTACACTCTGTGTCTCAGTGGCAGCTTTGTAAAAAGGAACACAGCGTTCTCATTTAGTTCAATAACAGAGAGATCCTACAGCAGAGGTGGCAAGACCAGGGGACACAATCATCATCTGGTGTGTGGCAGGGCAGGGTAAGCACAATTTAACTAGACTGCAATTGTTTGGAACATTACGAGTGCAGCAGTGAATGGTGATGAAGTGGATTATGTTGATCTTTTGATACTTCTTTCATCTGTAATGACTTCACTACTGAAACCATTAGGACAGGAATTAAATCTGACCACAACCCGTATTTAATTGTCAGTGAAAATACAAAATACTTTTCAACCCTACATAAGGTAAATTCCTGATACTCAAAGATACAGTAGAAATTGGGTAGATTACAGTAGCATTTGAAAGAAAGTAAAAGTATATTCACTAGCGAGCACACCATTCTAATATTGCTTTCCAGTGCACGTCACAAACACAGACACACACCCACACACCATCACATGCTCCCACCACACTCAGAGCTACATCTAAAACGAGGATCCAAACACAGAATAAATAGACTGATGAGAATTCCTTTGGTGGTGGTAGATGTCTGAGCTGCTAATTGTTGTGTATGACTGGAGGATGTGAGGAATGTGACCTTAAATTACTTTCATGCTTGTCTGGATGGCAATGCAGGTCCTTTATATGAAGCAAATGAAAATGTATGTTGCACTATATTACAGTGACATTTGCCTAAAGTGGGCCTTTAAATTTATAATGCAAGATCACTAACAATTAGAACTGACACCATAGCTCAATACACCAGTACAAAGAGTTAGAGCCTACAGAGAATGAACTTGTCATAGGCTCACCTATAGGAGCGGTGTATCAACAGCACATCATATGTAGCATACTTTTGTGCACAACTGTTGATATAAACTGACTGGTCTAAAAGATCTGACCCCCCATTCATGTTTCTCTTTCCATTGAGCTGTGAGCTTGCCATTCACCTCTGTCCAGCAGCCAAAGTGCTGGGGAACAGTCCCGGAGGAAACATCGGTGCTGGGTGACAGTATGACCATCACAATGATTAAGGAAAGCTGTCATAGTGAAAGACTGGCTTAGTGCTTATCTTTGTCTCCTGGTAAGCCAAGCATGGCGAAGAATGGAGGGGTGTTTCCAAGCCCCAAGCCAACATGAGGTGCTAGATTAAGGTTAGCAGCCCTTTCAGCCCAACCCTGCTACTCCGATTGCAATCATGATTTGGTTCAAAAGTTGCATCCAGGAAAGGCCGAGCCCTTTAGGAGCAAAGATAGGCCGAGGACCACCAGTTTGCCAACATATGTGTGAGAAAATTACTGAAATGTTTAAAAACAATGTTCCTCAAAGATAAAACAGGAAGGGATTTGGATATGTCACCCTCTATGCTGCATAACCTCATTAAAAGATTTCAGTGGGTAAAGAACAAGGGCACAAGCCTAAGCTGGATGATCGTGTTCTCCGATCCCACAGGTAGCACTGCATCAAGAGTCATCACTCTTCTATAAGTGATATAACCACACGGGCTCAGGATTACTTTGGCACATCTGTGTCAGGCACTATAATATGTAGTTACATCCATAAATGCTGCTTCAAATTGTACTGTGCCAAAAGGAAGCCCTATGACTGCTCTGGGATCGACCGTCACACAGTGGAAACATGTACTGTGGTCAGACGAATCAGTATTTCAGATCTTTTTTTGGAAGGCTCGCCATGTGCTCTGGGCCAAAGACGAAAAGGACCATCCAGACTGTTACCAGCAACAAGTCCAAAAGTCAGGGTCTGTCACAGTCTGGGGTTGTGTCAGTGCCCTTGGTGAAGGTAACGTACACTTCTATGATGCTCCATTAATGCTGAAAAACACACTGAGATTTTGGAGCAATGTGCTGCCTTCAAGATGGCATTCAACAAGACAATGCAAAACCTCATACTGCACATTATCAAGGAGGAAAAAGGTGCGAGTGCTAGACTGGCCTGGCGCATTTTGAAACCCAAATTGCATCAACGAAGACCCAGGACTGTTGCGCACTTTAAGACTTGTTTGCAGGAAGAACTAGATAAAATTACACCTGACACATCACTTGGTGTCCTCAGTCCCTAAACAATTTTTTAAATGTTATATTCAGAGATGTTCCTAATATTCTGAAACTTTCATGTACGTAACTGGGGAGGACAAAAATATAAATATCATATAATCTAAATATAATGTAGTCCACCTTTAACTATGACCTCAATAATAAATATATAGTTGAATTTATAAATTTATGACAATTTCACCAAAAACTGAAACATTTTGAGCTTCATAAACACAGAGGTTAAGGTGGAACTGTTGTGTTGAAGTGCATATAATTGTACAGGTGTACCTAATAAAGTGGCCTATGAGTGTAGGGTTTTTTTCAGACCCAGGGTGGAACTGGTCATGCTCAAGAGTGCTGTGATCCCTGGTTTGGATGAGTAGGATTATTTGTCTGAAGGATCATTTAGTTTAGGGATCAATTTATGGAGCATTTATGGGCCCATCTGGTGGTCCAGTGGAAACGTGACACAGCCTGACATAAACCACATGTAGACCCTTTTAGACATGTTACTGAGCAATCTTCTGAATGTGTGATGAATGAATGAACCCCCAACACCTACTGCATGATTAGCTCCTGCTTTCCCTGGACAAATCAGAGCAACATCTTGACTAAGGTCTTGAACAGTGGTGAGTCATGGACTAATTACTTAATCAGTCAGTTAATCCATTAGTCGAGAAAATGAAACACCACAAATACAGTACTATATCACTGTAAATGGAATATTTTAGACATTTGGACTAATAGCTGAACAAAATAATACACCTTGGGTTCTGGGAAGAGTTAATAGGTATTTCCTAATATTTTTTTGTCATTTTAGTGACATAATTATTAATAAGCAATGTGTTAGCAGATTAACTGATGATTAAAAAATGTGTTAGTTTAGTAGTTATTTTTAAAAAATATGAATGGATTTACATATCTTATGTGGTAGAAGAAGGATGCATTTACACCCAAAGTTAGCAAGAAGACATTATGATATTGGGCTCAATATATCAATAGCGCATTAGAGAAGGCACTTTCACACTATACTACCATTGGAATTATTTGTCTGCCCCTAATAGTGAAATCAAGGCCTTCTTTGGTGTAGGG